ACACAAATGCATACACACACACATACGTACACGTACACATACACACGGCCTTGTTGAGAGGGACGGTTTATCAGTAGACCACCTGGCCCTAGGACTTCAATGTAAACTGTGATGAGGTGTGAAAAACTAAAGGTAAATACGCACAGACATAAAGGACACACACATAAAGCATGTATATGAGCACACACTGGCACACACACAGGTGCATGTACACAGAGCCAACTACAAAGAGACACATGGCTTTGTTCTTTGCCTTCTGTCTGTTTTGCTTTCATCTTTTTTGCTCTGTTTTTATGGCATCTCTGTCACTGCTCTCTTCTCCCTCTTTCTCTAACCTCTTCCTCCCTCTCCCTTTACTTCTCCTCTCCCTCTCTCCTCTACAGGTTGTTCAGTGTGGTTCTGGAGATGATAACCAAAGATGCTGACTCTGGTGGCCAGTCTGGAGGCAAACCTGGGGGGTTTGATGTCAAGGCCCTCCGAGCCTTTCGCGTGCTACGACCCCTTCGCCTTGTCTCTGGAGTTCCCAGTGAGTTAACACGGAGCTCTCAAGTCAAGTCACTTTTCCTCATTTTTTTTTTTGTTAAAAGCCCTGCACACCCACACAATTGTTTTCAATTACTCTGGCTATTTAGACCAGTGGTTCTCAATCTTTTTGGTGTCCCAAATGGATACACATCAGGTCGTGGACCCGCATTTGATAGATGTAGTCTCAGGGATGTCTGTATTGTATATGGGCAGATAAATAGTGAAGTGTGAAAGTGAAACTTATTAACAGAATAGTCATTCTTAAAAATATTCCCCATTTTCCTCTTGGAAACCCCTCAAGGACCCTTTGGGACCCCAGGTTAAGAACCACTGATTTAGACCTTTAATAAGCTGACGTTGGGTGAAGCTATGCACTTCATGAGTCTTGGGTGAATGTAATAGCTATATCATCTCAAAGAAGCTTTTGAGATGGATTAAAATCTGATTCCTCAAACACACGCATTTTAGCCAGATGTTGATGTTGTTTCTGAGGTTGTGCACCTTTGTCCCTGGCTGCTTAGCTTGCTCTTGTTTAGCCTGTACAGTACTGCCTGAGATGCACATACTGTGTGACATAATCCACATATAAGACACTTTAAATAACAAGTGTAAATGGGGCCAAGTCACCAAACTCGATGTTCTAATAACAACAATAACGGTGTAAAATAAAGGTGCAATAAAGCCAACAGGAGAGTGCGATAGCTGTCAATCGAAGCATAGTGGAAAACACCGATAGTGTAGTGCACTGTCAAAAGTAGCCAAAAATGATGTTTAAATATTCCTTCTGAAAAAACACACAGATTCGAACCACTCGAATATTTATTTTTGCTAACGTCCATAAGAGGGCAAACCAATACAACGAGATACGTAACTACTTGTAAAGGTATATTTACTGACCAAAATCCAGATTTCCAAACAGGGGTTTTTAGATTGATCTGAGTGCAAATCACTCTCTCTGCAGCCTAGTTGGGTTGTAAACTCTCTGCCATCATTACCATTGCGGTTGTTTTGAATTATGCTCTCGTTTTAGCTCGACCTACATTTCATTTTCAATCAATGAAAGTGACGTTGTGTCACTCCTATCCTTCATGCAGTGCATTCAGTGCAGCGGCCCAGGAGAGAACTTATGAGGCAGACAGCCACAGTATTTTCTTTTTTTGTGTACGTGTATGTTTATTTATTTTTCTTTATTTTTCTTTATTTTTTTTTTTACAATTTGATTATATATGTATGGCAGGTGCTTTTACATCCAACACCTGTAATCTGGCACATAATGATCACCATAGTGGCCAATCTGTCATTCTTCATACTAGAGATATCAAACAGACAAGACAGGCGAAATATCATAGGAACCAGGTGTGCGCACATCCAGAAGACAGACATTACTTGAAGATACAGTAATTACCTCAAATGACTAACACCTGCTGGTCAGAAAGTAGCAGGAAAAAAGCAAGACACATAAGATGGGAATCATAGTAGCTACTCCAGAGGATGGAATGTAATTGTTCAGTATATCCATTGAATGGTGACATTGAAGAAGAGAAGTGAAATTACCCACACTAGAATTTCATTTGGACAAACAAGGCAATAAAAAAAGGTGCAGTGTTTCATAATCTAATGCTTGATACTGTTTACTGTATGCAACGTACATAGTCTTGAGTTGCTATTTTCACTCTGTAATGTTTAACCCATTCCAGTGATTTTGTGGGCAAATACGTGTAAGCAGGGGTGCTACAACACTGAATATAACAATTTCCTCAGTTTGTTCCCATGTTGAATGCAACTTATGGTTAGATTAATAGATTTCATTGCTGCAGGAATAGTTCTTTTTTTGTCTTGGCCTTTCCACAGATCACAGGACAGTCAGACACAAAACATATCTGACTGTATTGCAGGCTATGTATACTCTGCATAAACCACAATTGGAGAGTTAGCTCAGTTAAAAATTACTGAGGAAACACATTTCTTTGTTTTGTTATTGACATTTCTTTATTTCTGTTTATCATCATTGCAGATAATAGTGCTAGCTAACTTTTAGCCAGTTACACTTGGCAACAAAGGGTTAGGGTTAGTGCCAGCTCAACACAACCCGCCACACAAGAAACTGCATTGTTAGCGTTACTGCTGTCTCTGGCTGCTGCTGCAGTAGCCTGCTCAGAAACAGAATGAAGCTTATACCTGTCAAAGACACAAATAAATAAAAAATGTCTGGTTTGGAAAAATCTATAGTGATTGTAATTGAAGGATTTCTACCTTTAAATAAACATGTCGCACTGAACATTTATTATAACATCCATAATAAAATAAGTTTACCAAAATAGAAATAAGAAGCTATGATCAAAATTCCAAATATATCAATCTGCACATCTGTTTCTTTATCACCCAGGAAATACTTCTTCCTTCACTGTGTCTGTTGTCTGCACACATTCAACCTCACATGAAGTTGCCCTAACCGTCTGCATTCTTTGAGTTGCCATAGCAACGTATCATTCACAGGTCTCAGGGATGAAAGGACCTCCGGGAATGATGGAGTTGAACTGAATTGAAACGACATTTTCAGTTCTATTCTAGTTTAACATTTGTCTTTGTTGGCTGGTATATGCAGTTTAATTAAGCTGTGGTATTTCAGCTTGTTTGCTGATGCCACAGAGGCCTATTTAGAGCTATCATGAGGCTTTGAGAGATATTGATAATGCCATTATGACAACTGATAAATTGGATTGATTGCTATGAGTGTGTTTCTCTGTTTGCTTCTCTGTGCATACTGTTCGTCTTTATTTGTGTGTGTGTGTGTGTCAAGTGCTCTGCAGGATACACAGAGGTTTGCCCAAGTGCTAGCCGCCAGCTAAATAACCATGTACTGAACTCTGGCTGGCCTGTTACTTTTATTGGAGCTGAAACAATTGGCTGATTAATTGATTAGTCAATCGAAAAAAAGAAACTGGCAACTTTTTGGTAACTGACTAACAGTAATACATTTTTCAAGCAAAAAATACCAAACTTCGTAGTTCCAGCTTCTCAATTGTGAGCATTTGCTGCTTTTATTATGTCTTTAGGTTTTAAACCGTTGGTCAAACAAAATAAGCAATTTAGAGACAAATCAAAATAGATTGCTCAGTAATAGAAGAATAATAAATTATAAAAATGTTAGTTGCAGCCCTCGTTTTTATATTTCAAATGACTCCAAATTCCTGGAGTGAGAAGGAAGAAACTCTTGTATGGCTGTTGACTGAATAACAAAAATGAACTCAATGCTAATTCGAGTGAACCATTCTGTTCTAGTTTGTACACAACATATGTTTTGAGTGGGACTACTGAGTTTTATTCAAAAATAAATGTTAGTTCATGCAACAATAAAGACATATTTTAGGTTTGTTTGTTAATTCTGATAAGGCAAAAATATCTGTTCCTTCTTTTCTCATATGGGTGGCAAGTCAGATTTGCTACATGTATATCTGTGTGCCTGTGTGTTCCCTCTGACCTTGGCTTCTGTGTATGCTTGCAGGTTTACAGGTGGTTTTAAACTCCATTATTAAAGCCATGGTTCCCCTGCTTCACATCGCTCTGCTGGTCCTCTTCGTCATTATCATCTACGCCATCATCGGCCTGGAGCTCTTCATTGGCAAAATGCATGCCACGTGCTACCTGATACAAACAGGTATGGTGGTGCAGAGGGTTTTAATTTGGTTTCAATTGATTTTAGTATCATTCTATTAAGGCAGATTTTCCCTCCCGCAGTTTCAGCCATTGCCTGGAGAATTTCATGAAATTTATTCTAAGGGTGATTCTTACCCTTTAAACCCTTTTGTAGTTGAGTCCCACATCCAGTCTACAGTATGAACAGGCACATACATATCATTGTAAGATAGATGCAGGATTTCATCCCTGAGAATGAATGGACACATGTACCTTGTATGTGAATGGTAACAAGCTGTTGAAAACAGGACAGAACAACAGATGGTGGATTAAATCCAGTGATTAAATGACTAATATCTGGCTATTATGTAAACAAGCTTGACCTTTACTCTAGCATTGCTTCCAACGTTGCAGAATTATTTAAGAAGTAAGGATAAATAGATGATGGTTGTCAATCATAAACATCAATATACGAACACACACACGCGTATAAAACCACAGTTATATTCTAAAATGGCTGACAGACAGGAGCATACCAGCTTAAGTCATAAGAAGTAGTGGGCTATACAGGAATATGACAATTTCTCTCTCTCACACACAAACCTTTCACCTAATCTTTCCCTCTCTTTCTTGCTTTGATCTGTTGGCTTGGACGTCAGGAGAAGCATTGTAGACTTAAGTCGAGAGGTCATGACAGAGCGAGATGGAAGCTCCCTTTAATCCCCCCTCACTTGTGTCTGTTCTGTTGGCCCTGAGAAAGGCACTTAGGTTGTGGTTTTTATGTGTGCACGGGTGGAGGGGGGCATATCTACAGAAAAACAAGGGTAGATGTGTGGTTTTGTGCACGTGCGCATGTGTTGTGGATATTTTAAAAGTGAAGGTTGAACATATTGTGGGCTCATCTACTATGCATATGTGTGATATAGCTTAAATAACTATGATTATCTTTATATAGAGTGATTGTAACAAAGATAATGATTATTAGGACAAATTATGACTAAAGAATACACAAAATAATAAAATATTAGTGCAATTGGAGGCTAAGTAAAAGGAGATAGAGAGAGAGAAAACAGTATTATTGAGACCTGTGTAAAAGGCTATTCATAAGAAAGAAATTCAGTTAATAGAGAGATTTAAGAACAGAGAAAGGTGTCATTTTAAAGGGAAGGTTGTTACAAAGCAGAGGCTGCAGAAGCACACTAAACAGCCAAAAGACTGCTGGAGTCTTTGAAGACAGTAGGGGGTCAGATGTTAATAGTTATGCCATGTAAATCCTTGTATGTAATAGAGATACTTTAAGACATATTCCAAAACAGATGGACAACCAATACCAAAATGTTAGGAATTGTGGAAGGTTTTTATTTTGTCATTATACGTCCAAAAGCAGTGTGCTGTTGTTTTTATGTCATGTTAGTGTTTCCATGTTGACTACACTCCTTTCTATCATAGAATCAAGCCATCTGAAGTGACATCATACTTAATATGGTGGGCTTATGAAGTGTTATAAACCACGATGGGGATATTAAAAAGTTTTAATTCACATTCATCTGTCTCACTCTGTGCCCCCAGGTGCCCTCGGAGAAGAAGAACCCACGCCGTGTGCAGTGTCGGGGCACGGCCGTCACTGCCTGCTTAATGGTACAGTTTGCAGAGAGGGCTGGCAAGGCCCCAACAACGGCATCACCAACTTTGACAATTTTTTGTTTGCCATGCTCACTGTGTTCCAGTGCATCACCATGGAGGGCTGGACCGACGTTCTTTACTGGGTAATTTACTGGCTTAATAATCCATGGGTCTCACTTTTGAGATGTTTGATTCTGAAAGAACCATTAATAGGTCAAATATTGTGTTACTTTAAAACTCAGCTGATTCTGGGAATTCTCGACAAAACTGTGAAATGATTCCTGTCATCTTGGGGTTTTTTTTTAGATTACAGATTAAACCAAGGTGTCCTACTTATTGCCTTATTTGCTGGAAAGGGCATTTAAGTGTTTCCTCACAAAGACATCATATTTTTTCTCAAAAATTCTAATTTTAGAGGATTGTAGTATTCCAATTTATTGAGTCTTGTCTTGAAATAAATGACATTAATGTGACACAACGTAATGTGCATTATATAGGCAAGACAAGGCAAGTTTATTTGTATAGCACCTTTCAGCAACAATTCAAGTGTTTTACATTAGTCATTACCATTGTATTAGTATATTTGGAAGAAGTAACATGGATACAATTTAGATGACAAAAGTGTTATATAGGACATGATCACAATAATGATGTCTAAAGATAATTCAGAAGGATTTATTAAAAAACCTCGGGCTACAAGAATAATATTTGAATCGTGATTACGTGATTTTTTTTATTACTAAGAAATCAAAAAACCACACTCACTTCAAAACCCTCAGCTTCTCATTAGTAAAAATCACCAACAGCTTTTAATTATCCGAAACACTCAGCATTGAAGCTCAACTGAGAATGAGTTTTCATCACAATCCACCCACATCCTTTTATTGATGGAGACCCTCATCTATGAAATAATGAATCTCCCTTCCTCCTTCTCTTTCTCTGCCATCCTCTCTCCCTCACACACTCTTATTTCTCTTATGCATGTATGTGTTACCATGGCAATCCCATGCTAATACTGCTGTTGAATGGCGAAGGAGACTTGACAAACCTAAATGAAGATAGAAGATAGAACGACAGCTGGATTAAATATGACCTCTTACCTTTCTTACAGAAATCAATTAAGTATTGCTGCCGGGTCTGTGGCAGCACTGTGGCTGGAGTGAGGAGTCTCTGTCATGCCAGCTAGAGTCGGGTTTTTACAGGGAATATGTGTGTTTAAGTAGAATTACATGCATGTACATAGGGCGAAGTGTGTAGAGATTATTTGAACTGTGTAAAAACTCAGTTGTGCGGTAATAGACTCAACTCTTAGTGTCTCTTTGCCAAACAGCTCTATTAAAATGCACTTTGGCTCTGTAGTGTGGTCATTTGCCAAAGCGACATTACTAATAGATATCTCATCTTCTAATACCCCCTCCACTTATTACAAACCCGGTTGTCTCTCACATAGTGCCCTCTAGTGGTCACAGTTCCTGCTCCAGTTTTTGTTGTAGCTCACTCTTGAAGATTTATTTCGACTGAAGGACATTATGGATTTTGAACTGCATCCAGCTGATGAGTCTTATTTAAAATCCAGTACTGGACTAGTAAGCAAAATGTGCTTGGAGTCTTACTTACTTACTCTTTCTTTTACTCTTTTCTGTCCCTGAAGTAAATTGTGAATACCAAGAGCATTCAGTTTGTCTTCCATTGATTCAGTTGATAGGTGATAATATGTGTGGAATGTATGTATAAAGGTGCAGGTGAGTCGAGGTGGTTTTTACTGGCAGAAGCTGTGAAAAGCTGCAGGCACCCACCATCATTCCAGTCTATTAGTCATTAATACTTAAATGGCTCCACACACAAAAAACAGCTGTCAGACCAAAGATGTGATAGGATTATACTACAGACTCAATTACACTGATCTTTGTAAACGTATGAGAATGATAACACCTTCTGCTCTTCTCGTTTCCTTTTCTGGCCTTTTATGTTTCATGTTTTGAAATGGGAATGGGAATTGTATGCATATGTGACACATATCAATACATGTATTATATATTATATATGAATATAAAAAAGAAGAGAATATGTGCACAATTGTGACACATACCATATGAATAAACCAGGTCTAATATGTGTCATCCTCTTTTCTCCTTGTCTGTTTGTGTTTCTATTTAGATGAATGATGCAATGGGCTTTGAGCTGCCGTGGGTCTACTTTGTCAGTCTGGTCATCTTTGGATCCTTCTTTGTTCTCAACTTGGTGTTGGGTGTGTTGAGTGGGTAGGTTTTAAGTTAGCCTGTATGTTTGCTTGTTGTATTATGTATCTTTTTTCTTGCTAAACTCCACCAATTTGTGAGAAACACTAAGTATATGTTAATGGTTCAGTACATTTTAAATATCAGTAACCATATGGTTGTCAGTTCTGTGACCTTGAACAGAATAAACAGGTTTAAAAAATTAATGAATCGATTGTTTTGGTGCTTGTCAGGCACACGTCTGTTCTGATCCTGTACAGTATTTTCGGACTCAGGTTTAATTATGCTCTGCCCTGTCCAGAGAGTTTTCCAAAGAACGAGAGAAGGCCAAGGCTCGGGGAGATTTCCAGAAGCTACGTGAGAAGCAGCAGTTAGAGGAAGACCTGAAGGGCTACCTGGACTGGATCACCCAGGCCGAGGACATCGACCCCGAGAATGAGGAGGAGGGAGACGAGGAGGGCAAGCGTAACCGTGAGTTACCTGGATTTATTTAGTTTTGTCATCCTTGTCTAAAGCAGGGAAACGAAGAATTCAAACAGATCTGTGTTACCGAGCCTTAAGTTCTTTTGTCTTTAAATAATATTGCACATCTCTTTGCCCCATCGTTAGGCAGACCATTACTCATCTATTCCACTCGGACAAGCTCACTTTTACTTTGCCTTAAATGTATCATAAAGGAAATGTCTATCTGGAACAAACGGACATCTGTGTGACTGTTAAGAAAGACACTGACACATAATAAGAATAATATATGACTTTTCCCCACAATTAGATGTTGACCGACTCTTTCAAGCCTGGGACGAGTGACCAGATACAAACAGCTCCAATATACTGACAGTTAGACATTACCTGCTGCAAACGACTGTTGAATTTTATATTCTGTACAAAGGGACAGTCTCACATGCTGCCCACTGTAAACGCAAATGTCACTTTACATTACATTCAACATTCAGTAAAATATATCTTTTTCCAGGCATCATCTACAGTTTGGTACAACAGACCATTTCTACAAGAGTGAATCATTCAGGTTACATACTAAACTAAAACATTTATCTTCTGAAAGATCCGTACAAAATGATTGTTACTAAGTGAAGCAAGTAATGGGTTAACATTACCGTAATCCTCTTAAGACACGTTCTCTCTTCTTTCTTTGGTGTTTTTACAGTGCCTTTATATTTTGACTGCCATTACATATGTCAAGGATAAAATTATCCTTACATCTCTTGTGTGTGAGTCACAATATGTTGCAGTATCATGTCCATATAGTTGGAAATGTTACACATACAAATAACATCATTGTACAACTGCTCATGATTATTACCATTGAATTGATCAGTAAACTTTCTGCAGGGTCGGGCAGTTGTGATTCTTTTTCTGTGAAAAACAATATAAGCTGTTCAGAGAGAAGTAAAAAGAGAAATAAAATACTGCCCCTCCATTATGTTTTTTTCCTGAATTGGTGCTATGTGATTTCCAAAAATGACCTTTCCTAAGTGTGGCGCAACAGTGCTGTGAAGTAAGCGAGTGAAAACTTTAGCCATGGTAGTGACTTCAGAACTAGCACTAAGCAACTGGGTGACAGCAGTGCTGTGATTTTTGGTCTTTTCTGTGGCGTGGTCTTGTGAGTGTTGGTCACCATGACAACACAGGGGTAAATGTGGATGTTTGGTGTGCGTGTGCGTGTGTGTGTGTGTGTGTGTGTGTGCGTTCATAGGAAAGACAACGTTTTGCTTATTCTGATCTGAAGGAGGCTTATTATTGGAACAGGATGTTTCCACCCTGTGTGGTTTTCCGGAGTAACAATCACTAGTACAGAATTTGTAACAGATTTGTAAGACTAGTTTCCTTAAAAATGTAAAAAAAACAAACATTATTAACAGCAGATATCTTTATGATTAAAGTAATGTGAAGATCAACTTTAAAATTTGTTTTGTTATTCTGTATTCCACAGTTAGTTAAGTCTTCCTCCTAACAGTCCGGCCTGTTTCACTCATAGTAGTAATTCCCGAATCTGTAAATGTTGTCTGATCTGGAGTATCAGAACTTTAAATCTCCTCTTTTTTGCAATACGATTCCTATTCTTCCTCTTTTGTTGTTATTATAGAAGTACAATGTGGGAAATGTGAGGTTTGTGGTGTCAAGTGTAGCAAGACCTTGCGCCCCGAGGTAAGATCTTTTAGTTTGCTTAGACGGAGGGAACAGGTGTGCATTTGCTGTTAAAGGCAACAGACTCTTTTTAGCTACAGTCTTAATAAAAGTGATACGTTGGCATCATTGCTCTCTGCTGAGCAAAAGCTAGACTGACTAACTGAAAAGAATAGAGATCAAAGCATAAAATATGAAACTGTTTTAATCAACATTAAAATACAAACTGAAAAAGCAACATTGGGGAATGTTGATACTAATTACTTATTAGGCTACTTATTACTAATTGTCCTGGAACTAGTTAAATCTAAAAGAGATGAAATGGAAGAATATTTACTTCCACAACTTTTACTTGCTTGTATTAGTATTTCTGTAATTTAATAATTCCCACACTGCCAAATGTTGGTGTTGGTTTTTGAAATCTTGTGTTTTGCAAATATCAAATGAGTGCAGTCAGTGTCTGTCCAGAAGAGTGCAGCAGTGCAATACACATGATGAAAGAGTAAGACTAACATTTTCTGTCACCTATCTCTTACATAATTGTCAAAACATGAAAGATAGACAAAATGATGGAGAAAAGTAGAATTTACATGTTGCTGTTTTCTGAGTGGACTATAATATATATAATCTTATATAATATTGCTTAAATTTGCCATGTTGTTCAGAATCTTTCAGGTCTGTGTATTTTTCTTTGCAGTATTTCTATGCTTAAGTCATGTTCTTTGGATCATAAACAAAATGGTACTTACGTTCCATGTGTGGAACTGTAGTGACAGACATACATACTGATTAGATTCTGGTTAAAAATACTCACTTCAAAAAAATCACTTTACATGTATTTCATGAGATTACATGATTCATGTAAATTGGTGATGGGAATAATTATTTGCCTATCAAGATTTTCAGTTTGCATACCCCAGGTCAAGAATTTGCTTTCTCTCACAGATATGTTTGATTCTGGTTTGTTTGTTCAGTGTGATGGGGGGTTTCCCTGCTGACCATATTCAGATTTGGTCAGATTCTCCTTGTAATTAGATGAAGAGGCAGTGGAAACACTACAGCTTTAGTCCACAGGGGCTGCCCGAATAAAAAAAAAGAAAGAGAAAATAAACCAATAAACCAAAGGTGTGAAAGAGAGACTGACTGACTGCACAGTCATTTTCCAGCATAAACTGCTATTTATAAAAAGAGTTTCCTGACTTAACATATATATTGGATAAGATCTGTCACTCTAGCTGACTGAGCTACTAAAGAAACTGTTTCAACAGTCTGGGTTTCATCCGAGAGCTTGTGTAATTAACATTTACTCACAGGCAGACAGCATGAATTTATCTGGATTTATCTTTTTATGTGTCATAAGCTTTTATTTGCTTTGGTCTCATTCATATCATGGCCATACTGGGCTATATACCACTGAAAGACTCTCCTCCTGTGGCTCTATTCCTGAATACTTGAATTGGCCATTTTAAATGTAAATCCTTACATTTAATGTAATCATACATACATACATGCTAGCTAAAAACAATAAGGGAATTAAATAAAAGTATTGTGGATCTGTGGCTTTGGTATGGACCACATCACATCACATACAATCTGTATTTATGTGCCATACTTTAGATTTCCCACTTGATATGATACAGGATATATAATATGATATGATTTGTTTACATTGACAGAGATTTGTATTGTATCAGAGCAGAGCAGATTTTCAGGATCTAAACTAAAACCTAAACGCAAACCGATACTGAATGTTAAACAGGGAAGAGGGTCCTGTTGTTGTTGTTGTTGTTGCTATTTTCTTTAAGTTCTCTTTACCCTCTTTAGTTTCTGTCTTTTCTATTATTTACTTTCTAACATTTGGTTTGAAAATAGGGTGGCGCGGGAGCATCCTGATAGCTCACCTGGTAGAGCTGACACCCAATGTACCCATGTCGACTCTGACCTATGACCCTTTGCTGCGTGTCATCCCCCTCTCTCGCTCCTCCCATGTTCGTGTCATTCTTCAGCAGTCGTTATCACAGATGAAAATAGGGTGGTGCTGTGTGGCTGTGTGGTGATAAGCACTGTCACCTCCCAAAGAGGTCTGCATGTGTCAGATCAGGGTGTATGAGGTATGCACGTACCCCCAGACCCATGTCTGCTTGGGTTTCTATCCTCTTGCAGTGAGGTGAAGCCAGGTGAATTGCCTGTGAATGTGAATGTGAGGGTGAATGCGTTTGTCTATCTGGTAGCCCTGTGACTGAACGCCTACCAGTCCAAAAGATAAGCAGATATAGATTTATAGACGAATGGTTTGAAAAATTGCTTTGAATTTGTGGTTGCGTCATACAAAAATGCTTGACTGTAAATGCAATTGTGAACAGTTACTTTTCATATCTAAGATTCTCATAAGAAATACCATCAAAGGCAGTTCACAGGTCTTTGGGAGTTCTACTACGGATGTGAGAAAAGCTGTATAAAGCTGTTTGTGGGAGCTGTGTTAAGTCTGATAAATGTCCCTTAAATTATGTCACTTGAGGCAACGTCAGTTTAGCATTACAAGACTGAAAACAAAAACATCTGTGTGGGTTTGGAGCTTATCAGACGTCTGTGGCCCGCTTCTCATCTCTGCTTGAGGCTCTAGGCTGTATTAGCCACTACTACTGCATTATGGGTAATGTAGGTAGAAGAATGCAATAAATAAAAACAGCAGTATCTCTGGTTCTTCTGCATCAAAGTCCATAGCAGCAAAAACAAACACAATTTTAATAATGAATTTAAAATGATAAAAAAGATTTTGCAGGATATATATGGTGATTGTTTCCCCCTATAACTGAATACCTGGACTGGAGCCTGGTTGTGTAATTAATGACAGTTCCCTACTGGTCATAATCAATCTGAATGTGTGGGGACGGGAAATATGGGTGTAAATCATTTGAAATCCATCTGCTCCTTTGAAAGAATGTTTGTGTTGTGAGCCTTACTTAAAAGTCGTGTGAATAAGTCTGTTTTGGCCTGTGGTGCTGTTGCTTGCAGCCTCGCCTCTCTTCCTAATACTGCTACAGTGCCTTAAAACCATTCACAGTGCAGTCGGTCCTTGTACCTGTCAGTTTTTTATCCTCCAGTAATTTCCCTGCTTTTACCTCTGCTGTTGTTGTAGACTAGACCCCCGAGACAACACACTAACTTTCTCTCCTTGATTCCCGCAGTGTCTGTGTGCCTTGTAAAAAACTGTCTATAGACTGCTGCTAACATTAGTTTTTTCCCTCTGTCTCTTTTTTCTTCCTTTTGTTTCTTCACATCTTCCTCTCTTGTTGCCAACAGTTGTTCTCTTCTCTGCCTTTTATCTTGTGTTCTCTTACTGAAGTCTTGTTTAGTGCTAATCCTTCCCAGTCTAATGTGGTACTAATAGTTACTCTGTCCAGAAATCATAGATCTAAAATGAAGCCCAAACCAATATTGCACTTTGGATAGAGAGTATAGTCGCTTTGCTAGAATTGAGACCAAGATATACACATTTATCAAGACATTTTATAGTCAATGATCTCCGGTTTACAACCAAGGACAACGCTGTTTCAAAACTACCTCAAACATATCATTGGCATGTCTGTACTGCAATTTCGTGTTATTTATCAGCTGACATTAATACCAATATTGGTATATTTGTGATAAGCTAGTACACATATATCTGCTAATATATATATTATCTATGACTATTGCCTACTGCTGCTATTGTGCTTCAGTTAGCAAATATCTTGTTAAAACATCTTTTATTCAGCATTTATTGTCAGCACAAAGCCAGCTTCTTTACTGTGTCGTCATATGGCATATTTTACCTTTCTCTCTCCTGTTACGTGCCAATCCCATTTATGCTAGAAATTAATATAACAGATGATTTTTACTGTAGCAAAACAACATAGTCCAGGCTCAGATCCATGCAGTCAGTCTGTTATACCAAGATGATATTAATGTATGTCCTGTACAAATGTTTTGTAGCTTTTCTGGACATGGTAGCTGTGCCTGTACTGTAGTTTGTATTGCAGCTGTCTCTTGCCGTATGTTCCTCTCTCTCTTTCTCTCTCTTGTTCTGCTGTGTACTGACTCACTGCTTCCTCTGCTGTCTGGCTGTGTGAACTGCATGTTGGTAACACCAAGGGGTCACACTGGCTGACCTCACTGAGAAGAAGAAAGGAAAGTTTGGCTGGTTCACTCAGTCCACAGAGACACAGGGTAAATGTGTGTGTGTGTGTGCGCGAGTGTCTGGGAGTGTGTGTTTTTTTGCCCAGTCCACCTTTGTCGTGGAGGTTGCCTCCTCCTGCATGTGCTTTGCTTACGTTTTTGTTTTTGCTTTTGTGTTTGTTTCCGTATCATAAGCAAATTAATTTTATCAAACATAAAACACTTTATCATCCATTATCTCTGAAATCCTTTGCATCACACTGTTCCCTACCAGAATATCCTAATTGCCAGTGAAACAAATCAACATGTTGTACTGTAGAACAGATTGAGGGCTGATTGGGGGAAGTGTAGCGAGCAGCAACATCTTTTCAGGAAGCAACTAAACTTATGGGAAATGTGACTTTCAATTTAAGGAACAGTAGCACTAATGTTACGAATAAAACACAAAAGATACACCAAAGATTGCCATTCAACTTTAAAATGATTTTATCTTTAGTGTTTTAATGACACGGAAGCATATGTACACAAACACCTTTAAAGTGTTTACAGACACAGTATTATGTTTTTGTCACTAAATTGCTATTTATAAATGGTAGGCCTAGTCTCAAACTTTAAATGAGTAATACATTTCAATGTGACAAATCTGTGTGAATTTAGATGTTTCCAGCCAATTATTTGCCCCAAGACATGCTTGACTTAAAATTCTGACCAGGAAATGAAACTCTTTAAAATGTATTTAGCTCATGTTCATATAGTACCAGTTTAAATATTACATTCTGACCTTATAATATATAGTAAATGTATGAAAATACATTTATTTTCTTCATGTCTGCAAATGAGAATTTTCACAGTTTTTGTGTTCAGATCCCTCATCCAATCATAACCATTTTGAATTCCTTTCCTTTGTCACGTATAAAGACAATATTTTATGCATGGATAGTATATGATTTCCAATATACTGTATGTTGTAATCCTGTGACTATGTATTTAATACTTGTTGCAGCATATAGACCTGGACCAAATCGTTTGCTTAAATATTCAAACTAAAGAATGCAATCAGTAATGAAAAGATTCAGCATTCAACACAAGTAAACCCTTTAATCTGAGTAACAATATTTGTATTCTGATTGATACTGATGTATTCTGGTGTTTCCAATTGACAAATGGTTTGAAAAAATTAAGAAAGTATTAGGTCAAATTTGACTCAGGTCTGGCAGCATGTACTCACTGTGACTTGATCTATGCAGAGACCTTCAAATTCATCATTTTGCAGTGTTCAGAAAACAGGACAGTTGGTTTCACACGGTGCAACTCCAAAATCCAGGGCTCCATCCTAAATTTGATACCGTCAGTCTATATCTAGAAAAATTCTGTAATTAAGGACAAACCTGGCAGAATGTCCTTTTCATTAATGTCAAGTCACCCCTGCATTTTATATTTACACTTGCATTTTTTTGTGTTTGTTTTCCAGTGGTTTGGCTTGGCCTATAAGCTATGTGACACATGAAAGTTGAATTTTTTGTATAGTGATGGCTTACATTACACATCGTTTAATAGTCTAATGTGTGATCCTCTGTGCAGTAGATTAGGAAAACTGAAATTACAAAACGTTTCTGGCTTTCTATTCAATATGTTTTTCTTTCTGTATTTAAAAGCGTTCAACGTATTTCATCAGGCTGGAACCAAGCCAAACCAAAAATGCACGGGTGTCAATAGGAAAATCTATTATAATGTGACATTTAGTGGTGAAACCTGTTTCCATCATGACACATTTTTTTTGTCCTAAACCTGTTTGTTAACTTGGCACCTTATAATCTCAAGTTACTTTTTCTGTGTGTGTATGTGTGTGCGTGACACCACAGCGAGCATGCCCACTAGTGAGACAGAATCGGTGAACACAGAGAATCACACTGGAGTGGAGGACAAATCACCCTGCTGTGGACCGCTGTGGTGAGTGTGACATATTATTATTACGATGAGCTAATGAACAGAGGTTGATCTGTTATTATTGACCTGATCAAAGACACAATTACTGTTTTACAAATTAAAAATTTGACTCAAACACAGTGCGAATGTTGTTGCCCTTTATTTAAAGTTGCCTCGTCTTTTGTTCTCCCCAGTCAAAAAATTACTAAGTCAAAGTGCAGGTTAGTACCTTGGTACTGTATGACACTGCATGGCAAATGCCTTCTGCATTCATTTATTTGATTCAACTCATCTTGCATGACTCATTCTTACCTAATCAATTAATCTTGCGGTTGACCCAATGTCTGTCTTGTTTTATTCCTGACCAACCAGTCTTTATTCTGATCTCGCTACAGTTTCATCATTGTGTTTTTCCACTGTCTACTTACCTAAATTTCCCCCCAGTCCTTTACATTTTTGTCCAATTTACTTATATTGATATTGTGTGTTCATCTTGTGTCACCACATGTGTAATTGTATATGTGAGAAATAAAATGTTAATCAAATCCATATACATGAAGTACAAAGTCAGAAGAGTTCAAAATGTGTTAAACTCAATAAAAAATTTTACTATCTGAAATAAAATCATGGTTCGTTAAGTCTAATGAACTAAACTCTTCTGAATATGGCCATACAAATCCTGCGCATTGATCTCAAGTGGATTTTTCTGTCAGTCGACAGTGGCGACGGTGGAACCGCTTCTGTCGCAGGAAGTGTCGTGCAGCCGTGAAATCTGTGACGTTTTATTGGCTGGTCATCATCTTGGTGTTCCTCAACACTCTCACCATCGCCTCTGAGCACTACAACCAGCCAGACTGGCTGACTGAAGTACAGGGTATCTATTATGCCCCACTCTGTTCTGTTTGGTTGTAAAACATGTATTCAGGTCAGTTTTTTGACTTTGTTCAGCTGTAGTTAAGACCTCTCCTCTTCTCTCTTTTCCAGACGTAGCCAACAAAGTTCTCCTGGCAATGTTCACCTTGGAGATGCTAGTAAAGATGTACAGTTTGGGGCTGCAGGCCTACTTTGTGTCCCTGTTTAACCGCTTTGACTGTTTTGTGGTGTGTGGAGGCATCGTAGAGACCATCCTGGTGGAGCTGGCCATCATGTCTCCCCTGGGCATCTCTGTTTTCCGTTGCGTACGACTCCTTAGGATCTTCAAGGTCACACGGTGAGCAGCAGAGAGGCATCTGCTTGTTTTCTGGATGCGATAGAGATGACTTAAATGTTTCAAACAAAAATAATGGCTGATGCAGAAGAAAGTGGTCCTGCCTTGTCTAACCAATATTAGAATTCCCGTATTTGCCTTTAACTACCTTCACGAATATGTGTAAGTGTGTGTGTCTGTCCTTCTGGTAATTTGATGTATATATTTTTTCCTCTGCAGTCACTGGGCATCTCTTAGTAACCTGGTGGCCTCTCTGCTCAACTCCATGAAGTCCATCGCCTCCCTGTTGCTGCTGCTCTTTCTCTTTATCATTATTTTCTCCCTGCTTGGCATGCAGCTTTTTGGGGGCAAGTTTAACTTTGATGAGACTGTGACTAAAAGGAGCACATTTGATAACTTCCCCCAGGCCCTGCTCACTGTGTTCCAGGTAAGTTTTTGGTTTTATTAACTTTGTTCAGATACGATTTGCAATTACAACATCACAGCGTGTGCAATAACAAGGAGGCTTAAAAGTGCAAAGGGGCTGAGTGGAGTGGAATATAAATCAGAGGGACGGTGTGGTTATTAAATAAATTTTTGTCACATCACTGGTCTCAACAATTCGCTTCTTCAGGAAATCGTATTACTGTTGGTGCAGAGTGGCCCAACGTGAACACACAGCGCCATACGTGTTTTTAACCACTAATTAGTACAATGGTGATACGTATAAATAGTCACAAAATAAATGATTGACGCGGCTTCCATGCTATATTGTGTTTGCTAGATCTTGACAGGAGAAGACTGGAATACGGTGATGTATGACGGCATCATGGCGTACGGCGGTCCATCCTCCTCTGGAATGGTGGTCTGCATTTACTTCATCATCCTCTTCATCTGTGGAAACTGTATCCTACTGACCACAAACACACACATACACACATGCTCACACACATTTACACTTTTCTTGCATGTGTGAATAAGTTGTGTTCTAATATTGAGCAGCCCGGGTGGGTTTTTCTTGTTGGCCAGGGTTTTTTCCTTAAGTCACATGACCAGACATACTACTAAACGTCTTCTTGGCCATTGCTGTTGACAACCTCGCAGATGCTGAGAGCCTCAACACAGCACAGAAGGAGGAGGAAGAGGCCAAAAAGAGGAAGAATAGTGCCAAGTACAGCTTAGAACCCCTGCATTATTACACATTTTAATTGTTTAATGGTTTTTGTAGACATTTGTCACAAGCATTTTCTGTTGGCAGTAAGAAATAGCCTTCTGCCTTATTAGTTACTCCCTGTTTATCTGTCCCTAACAGGGATGCAAGCACAGATAAGAAGAGAGTTGAAATAATGGAAAGCAAGGATGGAGAAACCAAGGTAAAAGATAGAGAATAGCTCTCTTTATAAATCATGCAATTTGTATTATTAACAGAATGTATTACATTGCAACCACCTGCCTCAAAGTGCATTATTTAATGTAGTTTTTATCTCAATATTTGCACATTTTTATAATGCTACACTGTGTGTAGGTGCCAGCAGAGGTCTTGCTGGAGGATGACAAAGACTTGTATCCTGCCATCAACTCTCCAGGTAAAAGTGACTTTGTCCTAAGTGAGGAGGAGATATATGTCTCTAGTAGTATTTTTTTGTGGCACCTGTACTACTGAGAACAACTTTATTGAACAACAAATCAACAGAAATCACCTAACCTGTGTTGAAATGTGGATCCAAACAAGAAAGACAAAACACAACCTATATTAACACAGTACATTTGTGAAAATGTTAAATATTAAAAAAGATTAAAATAACTCGGTTGTGTTTCCTAGTGTGTGATGATGTTGATGACAATAATGATGACCTCCCAGAAGTCCCGTCAGGCCCCCGTCCTCAGAGGCTGTCTGAACTGAGCATCAAAGAGAAGATCCCGCCCATCCCGAAGGGCAGCGCCTTCTTCATCTTCAGCAGCACTAACCCGTGAGTCAGAAGAAATCACAAAAACAGGTCTAAAATCAGTAATAGTAGGAAATCTGACTTGCTGTTACACTCACTGTACATTCTCTGCCTCTTTCTCTCTCCATTCCCCCTTCTTTGTTTTATTGTTGTAGGTTTCGTGTATTCTGCCATAAGCTCATCAACCATCAGATCTTCACCAACCTCATCCTGGTCTTCATCATGCTCAGCTCTGTCTCTCTGGCTGCTGAGGATCCAATACGCAACTTCTCTGCTCGCAATATCGTACGTAAACCACCACTGGGACTGTAATCTTGAGCTGCCCTACAACACTACCCCACATTCTTAACTGATCCTGTTTGGGGGGTTTATTTGTCTCGTTGTATCTGACAATCCACTTTTATCGCAGAATAGATTTTATCCAATAGCACAGCTGTAAATAATCAATAATAAATAATAAATTCCTGTCATGACTTACTGTACACTCGAATAGAACAGAACCATCGTTAATATAATTAATTACACCCAAATGTCTGCTGTGAAAAAGGCCCATGGACATAGAAACACAAAGTACATGTGCAGCATTTTGATGCTAGGTTAAGAAGTCAGGTATATTTATTAAATTGCAGGACCGACAGTTAAGTTTTGTTTTGGTTAAATGTTTTTCTTAAAAGCCACAAAACATTTTTGCCACACAGCAGCTATCAAACCCCTATTTCCCAATTTTACACATTGACATTCATATTATAGGACTTTACATTGTACTTTATTATGTTTTTTACTTAGGAATGATGTAATATGATATCAAATTACTGACAATACCACTGTGGCACTAATTGAAGACTGATGTCACTGATGTTAAGGAGTTTAGAAGAGTTTTATTTATTTAATAACCACAATGTTTAATTAGATGTTTAAAGACCTGCCGCTGTTATTAACACGTGGTGCAGTGCCACTTTGTTACACTGATAATACTATTTTAACATTAAAGATAGCTTTAATATAATACTAGTTATTTTTCATCTGACTCATACTGTATCTATATACTGTATCTTACTGTGCTGTTATCCTGGAATGACTTGAACTTGTGCATTGCCTTTTGCAGATACTTGGTTATTTTGACTATGCTTTCACCGCAATCTTTACTGTTGAGATCCTGTTGAAGGTAAATGACCTTTGTGCTGTGTTGTGCTGTGCTGGGTAGAGCTTCAGTAACCCTGCGTGCTTATGTCACTCTGATTGCCTCCTCAGATCCTAGGCTATGCAGACTATGTCTTCACTAGTATGTTTACATTTGAGATCCTTATTAAGGTAAACAATAAAAACTGTTGCGCTGCCTCTGCAACAACCCACCACCTCCAAGCTTGCTGCACACGTCCTCCTTCCCCTCATTTTTTGTCTCTATAATTTTTGGTCAAAATGGCCGCCTGCTTGTCTTGTTGTCATGGCGCCAATCCGCCAACGTGGAGATCATGCGTTTTCGTCAGATATTTTTTTGTCTGTCCGTCACTTTTCCATCACGGCCCACTTCCCCTCTTCATCCTCGACTAGTTTATGGACCAGTGGCTCTCCAGAGTACAAATACTTGTTGGGCTGTTCCCAAATAAAAAAAATAATTAAATTATTTTTATTTTTAACTTAACGAAGATTAAACAATATACTGATTGGCACTATGACTCTGGTGGCATTTTTAAACCTTTCACCAACTATTATCATTTTTTGAAACTTTGAATCTTTGTCAACACCACTGACTAACAGATTCCTACATTTTGAACAACAAAACATTTTTTGATTTTTAATTAGGATATTTGTCAAATTTGAAATGTTCTGGACTGTGGAGAGATGAACTTGAACTTGAACTCACATCAAGCTTTATATCCCACTGCCTGATTGCATACTGTACACACAGATGTGCCCCCTTCCTTAATTTTGTTGATTATGTCTGTTTTACCGAATTCACGTCCAAAGAATGTGCTCCACAAAAATCAGGAACAGTTGTATTATTTTTTCCGTAAAAACGAAATCCTCTGCCTTACCCCTTTGCTCACTGCATGCCTGCACCAGGTAAATCTCATGTATTAAGGCTTAGCCTAAAATTTGATCAGGAGAAGATTAAAAGCTCTGTTTTGTATATTCCCCGGCTTATTCTACACTGGAAATTAATGTAGTGGCTTTTGGAAAATGTGCCCTATGTCTTGTCTGAACATTTTGCATTGTTTATTTCTATCTTTCTATTTGTGTGTGTGTGTGTGTGTGTGTGTGCGCGTGTGACACAATTTAGTTAGTCCTTGTAAGTTGCTTTTGAGCATGAATCCAGGCTTACCTTCTCAATATTACCTAGAATATTGAAACAAACATATTAGAAAGTCTGTTTACAAGCTTGCTCTAAGTGATATTATTTCACAACATAATTAACAAATCAAATTATTTTGTGCATTGCTGTCATGAACACATTTGTTTGTCAGGCTTGAAATACAATGTCAATGTCAATGTAAGGCAATATACAAAAAGAAAATTCAGCAAGTTTTTTGGTACAAACAAAATGTTATTTTAGTAATTCATTCATTACTAAAGTCATTTAAATTCCATTTCAACCTGACATGAATCTGTCCCCCTGGATATGTTATTTGTAGATTTGTCTTTAATCCTGTTGTGTTTCCTCTGTCCAGATGACAGCGTTTGGAGCGTTCCTTCATAAAGGGGCGTTCTGTAGAAACTACTTCAACCTTTTAGACCTGCTGGTCGTTGGTGTGTCTCTGGTCTCCTTCGGCATTCAGTATGTATTGTTCATTCATGCTTTAATGTCTTAAATTCATAATTGAGCAACTGTGTTGCATTTTTGCCATAATGTAAAAACATTTCTCTTGGCTTTGCTAGTGGCAGGGCTTAAAGGACTGCCTCTATGACAACATTTACTTGAAAGTGCACAGCTGAATCCACCAGTGTGTTTGTCTGTCTTCTGTAGGTCCTCTGCTATCTCAGTGGTGAAAATTCTTCGTGTTTTGAGAGTCCTCCGTCCACTCAGGGCCATCAACAGAGCCAAGGGACTAAAGGTCCGAATATTAATATGCATAGTATATTTATGCATTCCATGCGCCTTTGCTTATGATACTGTACTGTGTATTATATATGCACACTAACAGTGTATAACTGTGTGTCCATTGCAGCACGTGGTCCAGTGTGTGTTTGTAGCCATCAGGACCATCGGCAACATTATGATCGTCACTACGCTGCTGCAATTCATGTTTGCTTGCATTGGAGTGCAGCTCTTCAAGGTACAGTGAAAAGATGGAACAAGGGAAAGATAGATAGAGGGTAATGGGGTCACAACCAAATCAACAGACCCTTCTAGTTTAAAACAATACATTAATTACATAAATACATATTTAAATGAAGAGCACCTCCCACCTTCTCTTTTGTTTTTTTCCTTATAAAGGGGAAATTTTATCGCTGCACCGATGATGCAAAGTCCAGCCCAGAGGACTGCAAGTACGTTTTTTGATGCTTTTTGTTTCCAGCTTTGGATATTTGCCTGCATCAGTATCTCTTTGTATGTCCTTATACGTATATGAGGTTAATAGTTTTTCTTTAAATGACAGAGGTACCTACATTCTCTACAACAACGGGGACACGGCACTGCCAATGGTAAAGGAGAGGATCTGGTACAACAGTGACTACAACTTTGACAATGTCCTTATGGCCATGATGGCTCTTTTTACCGTCTCTACCTTCGAAGGATGGCCCACGTAAGTACTGCTCTACCTTTGAGGCAGAACTCACATTTGACCATCTATGGAGAGTAATAGCAAGAAACAGCCAGCCCTCTCTGAGTCTATTATGTCTACAATTGGACTATTTTGTGTGTATAAATGTGCACTTGAGCATTGTTTGTGTGAAACTTAAAGTACACTATGCATTTTTCAACAAACAAAACTTACAGAGAATTACTGTTCATTATCTTGACTTTCTCTGTGTTTTTTTGTGTCCCTGCAGTCTACTGTACAAGGCCATCGACTCTAACAAAGAGAACATGGGTCCCATCTACAACTACCGCATCGAGATCTCCATCTTCTTCATCATCTACATCATCATCATCGCTTTCTTCATGATGAACATCTTTGTCGGTTTTGTTATCGTCACCTTTCAGGAACAGGGGGAGAAGGAGTACAAGAACTGCGAGCTGGACAAGAACCAGGTAGGTTAGGTAGTGTTTGTATATGATGTTGCCATGTATTGGTGCTTTTATTAAACATTTTAAGTTTAGTAGGAAAAAACAGTTCGTATTGAATTATTAAACAAGTGTTCCACAGAAGAATATTTGTGCTGAAAAAGGACATTTGTTGATTCCAACAAAATGGATCTGGCTAAATAATGCATGCATCTTTCCATAGTTTTAACTTTTGTGCTTCAAAAATTGACGTAGTAGAAGTGGACATAGTAAAAGCTGCAGTGCATTTGTGCTTAAATCTGATGACACATCTACTGTATCTTATTACTTTTTGGTGCAAAGAGTTCCTGCATCTTTTGCACTTTTATGTTACACTTGTTCATGAGTCTGTTTGTCTGTCTGTTTCTTGATTTTCTCCCACCTATAACCCCACCACGACTGCAGCGTCAGTGTGTGGAATATGCTCTTAAAGCTCGTCCTCTGCGGCGCTACATCCCCAAAAACCCATACCAGTACAAGTTCTGGTATGTGGTCAACTCCACTGGCTTTGAGTACGTCATGTTTGTCCTAATCATCCTCAACACCCTGTGTCTGGCCATTCAGGTAAGTACTCTTTATTTAGTGCTCAAGTAAAATTGATATAAACTGGCAAGTGACTAGCATCCTCACATTGACAATAATAATGTATACGTCTGGAAATGTAAAAGATGATTATCTAACTTAAATGTCTTATTTCTTTCATGTTTTCCTCAACAACCATAAAAATATAACTAATCATTATGTGTTTTTCCACTTAAATGATCTAATCTTCATAGTAGTAGTAGACATAATTTAATTTGTAATATTTTATTGCAGCCTAAAGAGCAGGTTTACTGCCTTTATATGCTGCAAAAAGCAAAATGGGTAAAACAAGGACAGTGTACTGTATGGCAACTACTAATACAGATACACTTAAAATAGAGTACATGTATTATTAATAAATGTTTATCTCCTATTTTTAATAAGTCTGTCTGCCTTTTTTTCCAGCACCATGGTCAGTCTCATCTTTTTAACTATGCCATGGACATCCTCAACATGGTCTTTACTGGGGTTTTCACTGTGGAGATGATCCTTAAGCTCATCGCCTTCAAACCCAGAGTAAGTCTCCTTTCCTCTCCTCTCCTCTCCTTTGCAATATTTAAGCAAATATATGCAAAATTACCATTAGTTCCATCTTGTTTCTCTAGTTAGAGAATATACCTTTATATTTTATCCCTGCAAGGGTTCATGTTTTTGAGCTTTTACTGTATCTGAGAGCACTCCCCTTTTCCTTTTAACCTAGCCCTCCAACACTCTTCTTGTCCCTCTTACTTCCCCTCATGGACTCTTTGCCCACTGGCTGTGACTCCTTTTCCATTTATTCCTTATCATCACCCTCCGTTACTCCTCATCATAACCTCTCTACCTCTTATACTTCCCTACATCCCCCTCCTCTCCTGCCTCCCCCTCTCCTCCTGCTGGCTGTGCATGCTGCCACATTCAGGGCTATGTCGGGGACGCCTGGAACGTCTTCGATGCTCTGGTGGTGATTGGCAGTGTAGTCGACATCATACTCAGCCAGGTAGAAAGATTGTCAGTGTGTACAACTCTGTCATCACCTCTTCCTGCTCTCCCACTGCCTCTCTCCTTTTTTTCCTTCCTTCACATCTTTCCTCCTTCCCCTCCTTCCTGTCTTAATTTTGTGTTATATTTTTAGGTTGGCTTGAGCTAAAGTCTGTTGAATCTGTTGTGAACCTAATAGTTGATGAGCACCATAGACCAAATACATGCTGATGGGCTCGAAACATTTCCATCCACTACCTGTGTCTACAACTAAAGAAATACAAGCATATCTATTACATCAAGCCACTGCTCCATACTGATTAGATCTTGTGAACTTTTTGTTTCATGTTAAGTCTATGGTGGCCATTTCTTTTAGCCCGCCACTGCACCAGTGAGAGTAAAAAATAACTTCAGAAATTAAAAACAGACAACAAAATTCTGTAAATTAAACAAGGTGGTACTCTCACAGACTCAGTGGCAGGAAGGATTTGACTTTCAACCTCACTCTTTTATATCAAATCACAACTTTTTGATGTTCTCCTCTTTCTATCTTTCATAATTCTCTTCTTATTTTACCTCTTCCTTTTCTTTTCTGTTCTGCTGTCTCTCTCTTTCTTCTTTTCTGTATGTCTTTGTTGCTTATGCTTGCAGAACTATTTTGCTGATGCATGGAACACATTTGATGCCTTAATTGTTGTGGGTAGCGTGGTTGACATTGCCATCACTGAGATCAATGTAAGTAGTCATTTATCATACATACCCTGTCTTACTGTGACGCTCCCAGCAAGAGGGCCTTGCTTTAGCATCAGAGTTGCATTCAAAATCTGTACTTTCTTTTTCATACATAAATTAATGGACTTCACAACCCCAGCAACTAAAACAACCCAGCTAACTAAAACCACAACTTTGTGATAAAGTAAAAAAATGTATGGACTTGCTTAACCACTACTGTTTATTGCTTTTTTTTTTTAAATGTATTTTTGAGTTTGATGTTGAGTACCATGACACTCCACTCTGCATTAAATAATTCTTTAACTGAACAGAAATAAAGAGAGAAAAGGTGAAGATAGACTTTCACATGTGTTATTGTGCTGCAATTTGTCACTCCTCTCTGGTGCAAACAAAAACTACAGGTTGTGAACACATTAAATACAAATTAAAAAAATTAACATCAGCATAATTCAGCAAATTATGTCCCTAAAATTCCTTTTTTAATTTTTTTTAATTTTTTAAAAAAGCTTCTAAATTGTTATTGGGAACTGTTGTTATTGAATGCAGCTTGGGTATGATTTAAAAATCTTGGATGTGATCATTTTGGGCCAAATAGTTTTGTAACTTCTTTGAATCTGCTGTGCTGCTACTTCAAGGCCACTCTGTGCCCGGCTTTGCAGCTGCTAACACTGATTACATGCTTGCTACAGGCTTGTCTATATGGTGATGTTTGTTTGTCTTGTTTTGAGTGAATGCTTGAAGTAAAGAACACATTGTATCCCATAATTGATAAAACCCTAGCATACAGAAAGTCTGAATATTATCTGTTTGAGTTACAGCAACAGGTAAATATACCCTAAGAACATGTCAGCACTTGCTGAATATGCTCTGTTCGGTTCTGTAACTTAAACGACGCCATTAATATATATATGTTATTTTTTTATGTTAACGGACATCGTCTCATTTCTCCTTTTCCTTTAAATATAATGCTTCCTGCACACAGCCACCATATTTGGAGATCTCAGTTAATTTTCCTTCAGGAGAAAACACATACACATATAGCATACAGTGTATATCTGGTGTGTATGCTATTAAAAAAGACTTAAAACTTCCTCAAGCTAGAGTAACCATCTCAGTAAACTTTAGTTTCAGTCATAAACTCATTTTAATCCATATTTTATTGTTTTGAGTGTCTTCTTTAGTGTACACTGCTACATACATTACATTAATTCGCCAGACACAAGACAACCTGTAATAACTTAATTCAAATCACATAGGAGCAAGGGCTAGATAAAGGGAAAAGGAGTGTATCACTTATCACTTAAGCAAATAGCTGAAAAAAAAATTTGTGGAAGTGCTTACAGATGAGTTTAGTCTTTTTTTTTTTTTTTTTAGAAATGAGACATAACTAAGTCCTTGCAAGGGTTATTGAGATGGAATCTGCAGTGTACGGTGGACAGTGAATCAGCTATCCTGACTTCAGTGGGGAGCTCATTCCACCACTGTGGAGCCCGAGCAGAGAAGAGCTTTGACCGAAATGAGCGACCACAGGGTCCTCTGAGTGATGGGATGGCTAAACGTCCAGAGGCAGAGTAGTGCAATGGTTGGGCCGTAGTGTAGGGTTAGACCATGGTTTGAGTGGGTGTAAGGAGCGAGGAGGAGGAACTGAATGCAAGCAAACAGAGAGTGGTGTGGGAAAACCTGGGTTGATTGGTTTGATGGCAGACACAGGGGGTCCAGCAAGAGAAGGGAGTTGCAGTAGTCGATGCGGGAGGTGACAAGTGCCTGGATGAGCATGCAAATCCTCTGCTGCAGCAGAAGCCACCATGGTGTCGTCAATTGATAGGTCTCAGTAAGGGGACTCACTTGACATTCACTTTGAGATTTCAGCCAGGCAAGGAGCAATGTATGCCTCCACCTGAGTGTCAGTTGGGGGGAACAACAAGAATAGCTGGATGTCATCGGCATACCAGTGGTAAGAGAAGCCATGCGAGTGTATGGGAGGGCCCAGGACAGGGCCTTGTGGAACTATTGTTGTCAGACATGGATCCTTTCTATATCACCTGGTAGGACCGACCTGTCAGATAGAGTGCAAAGCCTGAGACACACAATCCTTTAAGGGTGGAAAGGAGGATATGGTGGATCACTTTGTCAAATTAAAGAGACACGTGTAGAAGCGTGAAGACAGAAGACAGGGAGTTCGCTCTAGCAGCATGAAGCACTTCTGTTGTTGAAGACGGACTGTCTTAGTTGAGTGGCCTGCTTTGAAATTAGATTTTTGGGGGTACAGGAGGTTGTTCAGTAAGAGCTAAGCCGACACTTGTTTACAGCACATCCTGGTGTCTTGGAACAACAGTTAGTCACTGTCAACAGGAAAAGATTTGTGTCGCTGCCAGAAAAAACAACTTAAAAAACTCCTTATTATATTTATGTAAATATTATTTTCTTTTCTAGGATGTCAGTGTTAGCCAGGATACCAGTTAATTTAATATTATTAATTATATTATTAATATTTAGAATTTCAAAGCCATGGAAAACACTTAACTATGTTATTACATCCGACATGATTTGCAAAATCATTGGGTGAAATGTAAGATGTATATGCGGAAAATTGTATGTAGACAGTAGTAAGAAACAATATCAGAATTTTCCTTTAAGGTATATTAGTGTTTTCTCTGCATTGTTAAACTGTTAAACTATATAGTATTTTGATAAAAAATACAAATTTTCCTTCAACTTTGAATGTTTGTATCTCATGTCTGCTGTTACTGCTGAGAATATGTGGTAAACCTTTTGCATGACAATCTTTACGCTTTACGATGACGATGTTCTTGTTTGTGGTTTTAATTGTAACGTGTTGTTGTTTAAAGTGAAGGTACTTCTGAGCGTTTTTGATGTCATTACATGTTGAATAAATCAAAGGTAATGATGATATGTGATGTTTGCGGAAGCACTGACTTGTGAATAGTTTGGTGCTGTACAGTTGGTTTGTGTAACTTGGATTAACCTCAAGCTTTTGGTTTAAAGTCGGCAGCCATTCCTGTCGTCAAGGTGATAGTGGAGCCAGGGGTAAGAAGAAGACCCTCCTTTTTTATTAAAGCCCCTCACCCTTCTGTGATCATCCAAAAGTCAAAACATCAAGATCTTTTTGTTGTCACTCTGTCGCTCACTTACTGATAAAAACATTGAGATGCTTCTGGTCTCACTTATTCACTAAAGTGTGATGGTTTGTGATTGAACTCTCAATGTTTGCCAGAGTCTTGTTAATCCACCTGATTGACCTGTTGCATTTTGGCTCTAGTTCCATGGTCCGGCTGACTTATTTTTGTTGAGGTCTTGTCCTATCTGGGTGCATGGCATGACACAGAGGAACAGAGAACACTGTATGGTCTTTTGTCTCATTTCTTCATTTCAACATAGCTTGCCCAAGTGCTTGCAATAATAATCAAATTACCAACTTTGTATAGTCAGTGCACTGTTTTTTGTCTTTGTGTTTGAGTTTTTTGTCAAAGGTCTTATGCAACTGTACTGTAACAAGACAGTAAAAGATCCATCTTGATGTTTGTATCAGTTGCAAAAAGTCGATTGTAAAACAGTTTGTCTTTTGGTTTGTTTGTCTTGGGACTTCAAATTCTGTCTGTTGCCTGTTTTGAATCAGTCATCCAGAGTTAAATGTACTGTATGTGTAAGTCCTCCAGGTCTGTTTATGGCATGGTGTTTAAGACGTGGTTACCTCTGCATGCACAGTGATTGTTGTCAATGCAGAGTTCCAGAAAGTTCACAAATGGGAAGATTTCTTCATAACCTTTTCATCCACTTTTACGTTGCCTGTTAATTAATATGACTTATACATGATGATTGAAAGAATGCATGTATGACTGACTGCATGCATGAATGAATGAGGAGTACAGAGATTTATCTCTTTGTTTGGGTGTTACGCTTTCTGTGTTTTTTATCCCCTAATCACTCTTCTTGTCCTCCACTTCAGAACACGGAGGACAGTGCTCGCATCTCAATAACCTTCTTCCGCCTGTTCAGAGTGATGCGATTGGTCAAACTGCTTAGCAGGGGGGAGGGCATCAGGACTCTGCTGTGGACCTTCATCAAGTCCTTCCAGGTGAGACTGTAATGTCTGCAGTCGATAGACATCCTTCTTGTATCTGCAGTATAAACCATTGAGTTCAGAGACTACACTTGGCATGTTATGGGTAGCGTTAAGGTTGAGTTGTCTTTTTTGTCATGAGTACAACATAAAAAATAGAAAATAAGAAAATAGCATTGGAAAAAGTCAAAGTGTTAGTGTGAGTATGTTGGTACAGGTGAGAAGAGGAAATCCAAACAAAATTCAGTTAGAAAAAATGATGTCCATGAGTCTGAAGCCTTACATGATACCAAGACACTGCACAGCAACTGTACTGATTGTGTCTGTGCATGCATTTCATTAGCCAACACAGTGTTTTGCTAGATGATCTTGCTGTTGGGTTAATTTCTTGTACATAAACATTCCTGCAGTGCCAGTGCTATAGTGTCATAGAAAATAAATGACAACTTCATGCAGTGCTAATATAGTTGCACAAAATCTAATCATTTCACTCTTTCTTTTTTCCCAACCAGGCTTTACCCTATGTTGCTCTCCTCATAGCCATGCTGTTCTTCATCTATGCTGTAATTGGAATGCAGGTATGGTCTCCATATATATTCTTGAAAATCAGGAACCTGTCAACATCTTGCAGGATATGTGTTGCCTTCAGTTTTCATTATTTTGTAATCATTTTATTTTTGCTTGTAGGTGTTTGGGAAAATAGCCATGGTAGACGGAACGCAAATCAACCGCAACAACAACTTTCAAACCTTTCCTCAAGCTGTCCTGATGCTCTTCAGGTGTTTGTGTAGCTTAAATTGTTGGTTACAAGCCATTAGAAATCATCTTACAGTACATGTTTAAATACATTATTCTATTCATGTGTTAATGTTGTTTCTTGTTCTGTGTTAGGTGTGCCACAGGTGAGGCCTGGCAGGAGATCATGCTGGCCTGTCTGCCCGGGAAGCTGTGTGATTCAGAGTCGGACTACAACCCTGGAGAGGAGAGAACCTGCGGCAGCGGCTTTGCCATTATCTACTTCATCAGCTTCTACATGCTCTGTGCTTTCTTGGTAATCTTCAGACATCTCACTGTGTTCAGTGCCAGTAATGTTTGGGACTTGAGCATTCACATTCCTGTATACGATGACATATGACATAAAAAAGTTTGCATGTCCTGTTTTCAGATCATCAACCTATTTGTAGCTGTCATCATGGATAACTTTGACTATCTGACCCGTGATTGGTCCATCCTTGGGCCTCATCACCTGGATGAGTTTAAAAGGATCTGGTCCGAATACGACCCTGAAGCCAAGTGAGTACTAAGGTCCCATTTTGGAGAGACAGATGAGGTGGTCATTGTTTTGTAACAGCCATAAAACTCTAAACTGATTATCTGTTGTTATTGTAGTGAAGACTGTGCTCCGTGGTATAATGTCTTTTGTTTGAATTTATCTGGATGTCAGGGGGAGAATAAAACACCTCGATGTAGTGACTCTGCTGAGGAGGATCCAGCCTCCCCTGGGCTTCGGCAAGCTCTGCCCTCACAGAGTGGCCTGTAAGGTGGGTTTCCACAGTTCAACAACAACCTCACACCTATAGAGAAATAGAAAAGAGAGAAATACATGAAAACTGTAAAAACATTAATAACATATAAATTCATAGCTTTGACTTTGACTAATTTCACATTTGATGCATCCTTGTTAATCTGTATTTTGAATTCTGTTGCAGCGTCTGGTGGCAATGAACATGCCCCTGAACAGTGATGGGACTGTCATGTTTAATGCCACCTTGTTTGCTCTGGTCCGCACTGCTCTAAAGATAAAGACTGAGGGTGAGTTTACTTTGTTGAGCTGTGCATTATCATTCTGTAGGGTAAAAGAGAGACTTGCAATATAAAATACATTTAATTTAATTAAGAATTAAATAAAAAAAAATATGAAGTGTGAGGGGCAGGTTTGCAAAACAGCAGCAACAGCTTCAGTCCTCCACCTACGTCTACAAAGGATGCGTTCAGGCACAGTATTGACTGTAGATCAGCACTCAGAGTACATAATCATGGTAGTTATGTGCAAAAAGAGGAAGAAAATTAGGAGAACATTAGGTTCTTACGAACATGCAGTTTGTTTTTAATCCAAGTTACATGATGATATTTTGACTTTTATTATAGTAGTAGTGCTAATTCAACATTTCGCCACAAGAGGGAGGTATAGATGTTCAATATGTCTCTCCTCACAGTCCAACAGGGCACATTTAATAACTCAGCAGCTATCCAGACGGTCACAACATTAATTCAGAACATTTACTTTTTATGCTTAAGACACAAGACATTGTAGGCATACAACAACATTTTGTTTGTTAACTCAGTGACCAGCAGCATCAATAAAAAGATACAAAAAAAAGACAAAATAATATAAATGTAGATATAAACATGAAGAGGGGGCACTTGGATGAGCAGGTAAGCAGTGACAATATGTTACAAACCTGATTCAGGGCTTGTCACAAATGTATTTATTGAACCAAACATAACATACAGAAGTCATCAGTGGTGTGGATGAGTGGTGTGCGTGTGGAAGGAATAAAGAAAATAGCAAAAAAAGGCATCCTGGCAGCTCAGCAATAAATAGAGAAAAAATTTACTACCAGATGTTTACCTTCACCCACATAGATCTCAAACAAAAGTTGAATAACCTGGAAAGAAAACTGATAGTATGGTCAATTACATCAGTACCAGTCTGCATTGCAGCTCCAGTGCCCACATTGCTGGCATCTACCTGTAACTGAAATAGTTCTCCCAGACAGGCAGCTGCCCAGACAAGAAGAACAGGCATTTGATCATTTGACATTGTCATTTGATATATTTTCAGATTAGTAAGAGGTGAAACTAACGTGGAAACATTTCTGCAAAATCCTCTGCAAACATGTATTCAGTCAGATTAACAGTAAGATTGGCCCACGCAAGGCGGTCAAACAAGGCTCTGATGCAGTGTACATGCTCTTCCTAAGTATCACTGTATAATGATATCATCTGAATACCCTGTGCATCCCTCTAACACCCGCAACTACCTTACTCATCAACCATGGAAAAGGGTAGGTGGTAAATTTTGCAACCCAAATGGAATTACAGTGTAGGAATAAAGGGGTGTGGGTGTTAGGCATGCTGCAATGATACTGCATATACAGGTATACTAGAACATGGAACAACGTTGTGTTCCAACACGTATTTCACATCTGACTCAAGCTGTGTTTGTTTTTCTTGAGAAACATAATAAATAGCTATAGCTAATAGCTACCCTCTCATACATGCTGATGGATCCGGGAGCTTGCCAGTCATGGAAGCGTACCCTCAGCAAAATGCTCAAGCCACACAAAAACAAACCCACAGTCCACAAATGAATGTCGTTCTGATACCCATCAGGAAAGTAGTTCCCCTTAACTAGGCTGTCCCCCAAGTTACTGGTGCTTTTAACCAAATTAAACTTACACTTATATGTTAAACCTTTTCTGTCATTTCAAGGGAACCTGGAGCAAGCCAATGAGGAGCTTAGAGCTGTGATCAAGAAGATCTGGAAGAGGACCAGCATGAAGTTGCTGGACCAAGTGGTGCCCCCAGCAGGCGGTCAGTGGTCATTATACACACATAGGCACACATGGGCAACACTTCATTTGCTTTTCCCCATCATTCACATTTCAAACAGTAACCTCAGCGTGTTCCTCTCTTCCTCTGTACCGATCTTCCACTCGGTTGATTTGAATACACGCTGCTTCTCATTTGTATTTTTCCTAACAATGAATAATGGAAACCGGACATGTGGACTGCAGTATATAACGGACAGCTGCCGCCAGACACAAATATAACCTAATATTATGTAACATTAATTTACATCTGTTAGTGCAGATTTGCATTGACAGAATAGCAGGAGAAGGTCGCACTGCAAACAATTGCACATCTGTGTATTAATAGAAGGAGGAAGGATGTTAAACAATTGGCAGGCATTTGAATGCAAATATTTTCCCCTCAACATGAATTACAAAAAGGAAGTCAGTGACATTGACACACTTGTCCTTTGCTGAGGTATGTTCTTCTTCTTGATGCAGTCTCACCTCTTGTTTTGCCACTATATACTGTGCAACAACAAGGACTCACCCGTGCTTAATTTTACATACAATACAATACAAATTACAATACATTTCGGTGTGATAAAATCATTCTGGTTTCAGAAAGGAAGGGAGTGATTTCTCACCCAAAATCTGTCTTTTGGTCTAGGTTTGAAAGGTAATTGTTGATAATTTTTCCACACAGAGACAGAGACTATGGCCATTTAATGTCAGAATTCCACTATATACAAGTTTTCGCAGCAGAGAAAATGCATCAACACACATAGAAAACCTTTTGACCTACTCCTGCAGCATAATCCACTTCTCTGCTGTCCATCCATTTGCTCAGTTTCTTAATTTTTTTTTAGACACACAAATTAAATACGGTGCTCTCAACGCTCTGAAGCTCAGATAAAAGTTGTATTCAATTTGTCTTGTGTTTGGAACACACTGATCATGCAGATGGACAGCACATTTTCACAGCAGTCATTTTGCGTTGTCATTGCAGGAAAAGCACAGGTGTTACTAATAACATTAACAATGGCTTTGTTTTTTTTAAGTGTCCCACTAAGTAATAGTGGCAGTGACACTCAGAATTTCTCCTGTGAAAAATGACTTTTGGTTTGTAGAAATTTCTATGAACACTTGTTTTAGATGAGAAACAGGATCACTATTAGGATCTATTGAAACCATGAATCCAAACTGACACAGTTGCCCACTGCGAAGAAGGTAATTACAAACCTTTTAAAGCCATGGCTATATACATTTTGATAGGTGTCTCACTTTAAGATTCAGGTACAGGGTTAATCCATCAGAAGCATTCGGCATCCTGTTTTCGCTTTGCTGATGCGAGTGGCCCACTTGTTGACCACAACCTACATGAAACCCTCCTTAGTCAGTCACAGTTAAACTGTTGTCTCTATCATTAATCTTGCTCTGCCTGGCTGTGCATTCTCTCTTTCTCTAGCTCTCCCTCTCTATCATATAAATGGAGATATATAGGTATTTCGTTGCTGATACAGGCCAAGCCCTTAGCTGAACTTTCATGTAGATTTTTTTTAGGTGTAAAAGGTGTGAAATTTAGGTGTGAAATTCAGCTGGTGCTGTCAGATTTCGATATGAACAAATCTCGGTCGAAAGGTGAACCGTCCATTTCCTTTATTAATACCTTTATTTGCATACATAAATTACCAATAGCTGAATGAGTATGAAAAAGAATATGCCAATAATTGTATTTCTAAATATTAGTCATATATGGCTGCTCTGACATTATATTAAGAGCAGTTGCAAAGGGACAAAGATGAGTGACTTAAAGTAACTGGATTATTTTGTCAAAATGTATGAATGCACCTCTAGTCTAGCATGCACATACAGATGCCTCTAGTTGCGCTTATATTATTTTTTCCACTGTTCGGCTCGCAATGCTTGAGCTCTGCTGGCTTAATTCAACTGCATGTCTTTGTGTGCATTAGTTTGCTAACCCCTCTTTTCATTTTTTCATCTTTTCTGCCAAGCCTTTCTCTTCCACAGCTTCCTCTGCTTTCAGTCGAGTGCTCAGTCAGTCGCTGGCCTTCTTGTCTTCTCTTTCTGCCGCCCTGAGCTCTTTGGGGCAGTTCTGTTTTAGTTAGGTGGCATGAAACGACTGATACCTCTTTCTTAAAAACTTCATCAGGCTCTGCCCAGAAAGGGAACCTGCTGTCACCTGTGGGCACAAAATATACTGTACATGGATCTGTCCATGCCAGGTTGATGCATTTTAAAGGGAAAAAAAATCTTACCAGTCTAGTTAAACACAGTCCGAAAATGTAGCTGCGTGAAAATGTGTCACTTATATTATTATATATATATACAGTATTAAATAATGAAAATCAAACTAAGGTGTGTTATTAACATTTTTATCTGATAAATTAAAGTTCATTTGAAAATATGGATTACATATCAGATGTCCTGTGCCCATTATATAGTTTAGAAAGTCAACATAAGCAATTTCCGATTTAGACAATTTACAACAATTTAGAGGACATTTTACATCCCTGAATACGCTTTTGTTCATAGGTTTTCTTTCTGAACAGAGCCTTTCATAGTTTCTCTCTGGCTGTGTCAGGTGTTGTAGAGAAACGTGCTGCTTTAAGATGGATCGTGATCTTACTGTTGGATTAAATAATCGTTCCATTTCAAAGCATCCGTCTCATGTGACATTAGTCACCTTTAATCAGTTCTTCTCAAATTAAAATTGGTGAATGGAAGGTGACAACGAAAAAATCCCCCAGATTTCCTACACACCATGATTCAGCCTCCGTTGCTCTTTTGTCTCTCTCCCCTGTCTGCTTTAGCAACCACTTGTCTGAGTGAATTAGACCCACACTTGATTAGCTTCTTTTGCATGGCAGATAGAGTGTGCAGTCACTACATGTAGTTTGTGTTTTCTCTGAAAGGGCAACCGTAGATCTAAATCTTCGCTGCTTCTCTGAACTCTTAACTTCGCTGTCTTCTTGCATGTGCTTCTTGCTACTACTTGCTCTGACTTTTCTAGTTGAGGTTAAATGTAGTAAGTCACCATATGGTGTAGCACTGGTATGTGTAGTAGTGATTAGACTTATTTGAATTCACAGTATATTTGTCTGAATTATAAAGAGGTCTTTAAAAAGAGGAGAAAATAAAGGAGGTTTGTGTGTGTTTCTTTTTCTGTGTGAGAGTGCGTCAAAACCACATACAAGATGAAACAGGATGAGCTTGCAGAAGTAGATGTTATCTGATATCGGGTTAAAACCTGCTGCAGGTGCAGTGTGTGTTTATAAATGTAATTTGCAGAATCTCAGATTTTTTAAAATGATATTGAGCTCTGTAATTACAGAACCCGAAAGGACTGAAATCACTTCACATCAGTTCTGATTCTTAAACAGTCCCAAGAAAAATAGCAGGTGTAGCTACATCTTTGTTTATGTCTTTTAAGTTTGAATTGATTTTTTGAATTGGTCTGACTCATGATACAGTGCAGGGGGTAATAACATAGTGTTACATCCAGATAAGTAATAAAGATAAAACATTTTTCTCTGATAAATTGCTTTATGATGCAGTGGTGTGTGTATTGGTCTGTTGAAATGGTGTTTCCCAGACTGAACAGTTATTACAATGCTGGACATTGTTCTTTTTTTATGGCATTTCATGTTTTCATGTCAGTGTTTCATTGTCAAGATGTTGTCTTTTCATACAACCTTCTGCAGTGGCGGTGCTTTATCAGTGTGATGTTTTACTGTTAATGGATTTCGGTTTTAATACTTTAAGTGCAATTTGACTTTTCTACCAAGATGTGTTTCTGTTCTCTTGGATGGTGAGTTAGTAGTGACTAAGATGTGCATTGAGGGAGATTTTATGTTCTGGATGCAGACAGATTTTTAGTGTTGAGGTGTTTTGGTATTTTGGTGTTGATCTGGGAGGCTTTGGTGTGTCTGGTCTGTCCACTCAGATGACGAGGTAACAGTGGGGAAGTTCTATGCCACCTTCCTGATACAGGACTACTTCAGGAAGTTCAAGAGGCGCAAAGAGCAAGGTCTTGTGGGAAGGCGCTCGTGGGAGAGGCTGAACACCACCATGGCTTTACAGGTAAGACAATGTGTTTGTGTGCTCGTGTTCATGGGAATACAATCCTATAGATTCACTTCACCAGTGCATCGGACAGATTGGATGTGACTGAACAATCCTGAGACAAGCTTAGCACTCACATCAACTCTGACTCCTCACCTGTCTGCACGCTCCATACTAAGGTTACTTCTGCACTGCACCAATTTAATAAATACGGAGGAACAGAAATATAATTACAGTCAATACTCATTTTCTGTCTATACATAACAGACCACTGATTACACTCTTCATGTACAACAATTTAAATATGTGACCATTACACACTGTGCTGAAAACCTGCAGAAGATATGAGATTTGCTCTGACTCCAGCATTTATGAATCACCCTGTAATCAGCAGAAATCTGAAAAAACTGAAACTTTGGCCGACTTTAACACTCAACCAGATGGAGGTACAAATGTAGATAAAATGCCTCTAATGGCTGGTTGGTTTGGTATTATAGCTGCTCTCTTTGCAGGCCGGCCTGCGCACGCTGCATGACATTGGACCAGAGATCCGTCGAGCCATATCATGTGACCTGCAACAGGAGGGGCTAGTAGATGCTAACGGGGAGGAGGAAGAGGAAATCTACAGGGTAAACATTCTTGAAAATCCGCTTCAGACATGTTTTAAGACATATAAAAATATGCTGGTTTGTGTTTGTATTGGTTTTTTCACAAAGAAAATTAAATGACCTTGTTATAATGTGTTAAAATTTGAAATTGTTTAACTAAAAAAATCTAATTTAAAGTGTAACCTAATACACTTTCAGATATGACATTTTAGAGAGGTTACTGTATTAATGCTATTATCAAGCTTTATGAATTGTACTTTAAATGGTTTAGTGTGTTTATAGTGTAGTGTTCTCATTGGTTTTCTGGTGTCTCTTTGCAGCGTAATGGCGGCCTTTTTGGGAACCACGTCAACCATGTCAGTGTGGATCAAGGCTACTCTCACCCGACCACCGTCACCCAACGGCCACTACAGATCCTGCCCTCCTCCTGCAGTGCCTCAATTGAACACACCCAGACAGGCAGGAGAGCCACCGACGATGACAGAGGAGGGGAGACAGACATGAACTCTTCACCCATCCAATACAATCATCACTACCACACACCTCATTCCTATAATTATCCTCACTGCATTTCCACTTGCCATCAATCGCCAATTCCCTCCAATGCCAACCTCAACAATGCCAACGTGCCCTCACTTCTTTCCATGACCAATGGGAGGCAGCAGAAGTGTTTGTTAAGGCGAGACCGTCCGTCCTCCACCAAAATTGGATCATCAGTGTCCACATACAGCAAAGGAGTCCACGACAAGCTTTGGAAGTCACACTCCACAAGGTCAGTGGATTGAGACCTAATTGTGATCTTAATTGATCTATTGCAGTTATTATGAATGTAACCACCAACGGGCTGGAGTAGTGGTAAGTCCTCTCTGTTAAAATAGTACTCCACTGATTTAGCATTGCACTGCTGTCACATTGTTGGAATCATGATGGAGAGTTTTAAAAAAGGATACAAATGGTGCAGCAGAACCAGAGATATCATCACATTTATTCCATGCATTCATTACCCACAACGCAACGCGACCGCTGAGATTCATGTGTGTTATGCTAATGTTGCCACGAGCCTCGAGTTTCAAGCAGAGCTGCTGAGCGAGCTACAAGTGATCAACTATCAAATGTTGTGTAGCTTCCTCTGGAGCCACACAGTATGTATACAGCTGTTCAACGTTATACACATTCTCATACAACAGTAGTACCTAATAAGGTAGGCTAGTAAGACCTAAACAGACTTTGATGTGAGAAAAGATTTCCAGTTTAAAGGAGAATATTGTTTTGCGGGGAGTAAAGCAGCCCCAGAAGCGTCTTGTACATTGCAGATATACAATCTAAGTTTTGATGCTCACATTTGATGCTAGTGAAACTGAAAAAAGTAAAGAAAAAAAGTATGTTTGATAAGTGTTTGAGAGAGGCCAAGCTGATATACTATATAGATGGGAGATAATTCAATTTTATTGTATATACCTACTTATATATATATATATATCACTGTATATGAGAGCTGAAACGTATGATTATTTTCATTCATTCTTTGCGGATTCTATTCTCAATTAATCATTTGGCCTTTATGCTGTATGTCAGAAAATAGTGAATAATGCCTATCACAGTTTCCCAGAGCAGAATGTGACTTATTTTGTCTAACCTAAAGTCCAAAAGCCAGACTATTCTCTGAAACTTTCTACAGATGATGGAGAACAATGGAAAAAAAGAGGAGCATGTGATAGAAACCCATCCTGAAACTACCCACAAGCCTCCCCTTCAGCATGACTAGATCTCATTGCTCTGTGTTTACCCCCCACTGATGAACCAGTCTGCTTTTTTCCCACAGGTTCCTCTCTGCCAACACAACTGATTGTAAAAGCCTTTATAGGTATCAGTTTCCTGTCCCAAAGACCAGTTCCATTTATCAGATCAGCTTCTGATAAGCTTCGTAGAAATTCCCTAGTATTTATGATTGCATGATCATTTTTTTTTTTTTTTTTTTTAAATATCACTTAAGTGCTATATTAGGTGATATATCCACTGTGAGTCTTACATGTGCTACAGGTACTGAAAAGACTTGTTGTCCCTAAACTGATGAAGATGAAGATACAAATAATTAAGCCTTTTGTGAGATATATTATAATCCTGTCTTTGGATTTCTTTGTAATTTGCTTTTACACTCTTTAATTTGCCTCTACAAAGATTTTCTTTTAGTGTTATAGTTTTGTCCTAGTTTTCCTGTAGATTTGGGCCCTACAAATATACTTGATTTAACAAAAAATAAATGTGTTTGGTATATTACATATTACCAGAAATGTCATTACAGTAATTTCCCCTGTATGCTTTGGGACAGAAAAGCAGGGCTCAGACTACAGAAGCTGTTGGCTTATTTACTTTAGATTCACCCCCCTGACAGAGACATCTGGTCCTGGACCTTGGTCGGTGCCGATGTTTGGGCCAAATTATCTGGTAATGGGAGGAGTTTACAGATACATACTTGATACACTGCAGGTGGATGGAATATGGTATATTGTGCTCATAGCATTAAATAATTCAATAAGTAGAAGCAACGTCCCTTTCTAGAAACAAAGTCCCAGTTTCTTTGGGTCATTCACAGACCTTGATGTCAACAGTTTTCATTGGAACTTCCTACATATGAAATAGTCTCAAGAGCCACATTTAGAATGAAACTATTCATAATTTTAAGTCACGTACTATTCGGCCGTTACTATTCATACTGTTCCTCCTGTGCCGGAACAAAAATCTATTCTTATAAGAATTTTAATTTGTGTCTTCTTGTCTTTTGTCATTGCATGCAACCTCTCTTCCCTCTCCTTTCGCAAATAACCCTGCCTGTCTGACTGACCCCTCCCTTTCCTCGGAGCAGGACGCGCTACTATGAGGCCTACATTAGGTATGTGATGATGTCACCACTTAACAGAGCTTCATTTCACTTTATGCTGTTTTTGGTGGCGGGTGTGTCACAAAACATGCTGTGAAAACTTCTCACTGGCAAAGAAGTTTCAATATACATGATAGTGAACGAGCACTGTGGGGAAATAAACCTCCAACAAACAGCAACTGAAGAAACCTTTCCCATATATATCATTGTCAAATTTGCACTGATCAGTATTTGACTCACTGTATCATTGAAATTTCGATGCCAGGTCAGAAAGCAGTGGTGGACTCTACCCCACCATTCGTCGAGAGGAGCCAGGGGGAGGGGACAGCGATGATGAGCGAGGGTCGGGAGAGTACTACAGCGGTGAAGAGTTTCACGAAGATGACATTATGCTCACAAGGGACAGGTACTGTGATGGTAACAACTAGCTCCCTGACACACCACCACGTGGACTGTTTGTATTTCATTAATACGACTTTACACTTGCTGCATCCCTGGCAATGCTCACCCGTAACAACACAATATCAACACTGAAAAGAATTTCTTGGGCTGGATCACTTTGATAAAAAAATGCTCTTTTTGTTTCACAGGTTGTCCAATAAGGACCAGCATGATGCAGAGGGAGACTTTGACCTTAAGGTCTCCAGGGATGACCACCAGTCTGATGGTTACTATGACGATGACCAACAGCCAATCTACCAAGATGGCAGGCGCTCGCCTAGGAGATGGTTTTTACCCTCACCTCAAGGTGATAACTGATTGAATAATTTCTACAGTTGTTTAGTGATTGTGATTCCCCGACACTGTCAGATTTAATGTGTGACAATTTTATGTTATTCAAATGAAATTATTTCTCCTTAATGATCGTTAAGCCAGTGTTTAAAGATTCATTACACATATCTAATTATAATCTATTGTAATTGCACATTGTAAGTACTAATGTAACAACTTTGTTAGTTAAGGATTATCACAGTTATTTTATCTGTAAGTAACCAGAGTTCGAGCGATCTTTCATCATCATTTTCGGTTCCTGTGTGTTCTCTCAGCCTCAAACAGGCCAACATTCAGTTTTGAGTGTCTTCGTAGAAGAAGTAGTCAGGATGAGGCCCCTGCCTCTCCATCCTGCACAGCTCTTCCACTACACCTCGTGCAGCAACAGGTGGACACACACACACACACACACACACACACACCTTTTTCTGTTCACGAATATTGTGATAAATTCATATACAATATTGTAACAAAACACAATTGTTACAAGAAGAGCAAGTAAGAGGCCTGTTTTGTCTCTTCTAATGTGGGCCTTTATTGATTTTTCTTCGTTGTCGTGACCTGTAAAATCCAACATCAGGTAATGGCGGTAGCCGGTCTCGATGCCAGCAGAATTTACCACCTGTCTCCTGCACGGTCGCTTCGCTCCTGGGCCACACCACCTGCCTCGCCCATCAGTCATGACTGCTCGCCCTGCTACACACCACTCATACAGGTATGGTGTGTGATAAACTGTGTCATAAAAGACCACATTTTAACCACAGATTGTCTTTCATTTTACCAAGATTAGGTTAATATTGCCTTAGATGTGAAAGTAAATGTTAACAGTCCTCACCCAAGTCTAAAGGTTGTTCACAGCAATGTTGGTGAAACGTGTAGAAAAGTTTTTATTGAGCTTCACAGGTTTGAGAACCTGATAGACTTAAAGATGAGCCTAAACTTTAGTGATCGTTTGAAAGTGTGTATGACTGAGGAATTTTTAAGATTTAAAAATGTGCTAATTTCTGGTTTAGTGGGCTAAAATTGAAAAAAAGGAAGACAGATGGAAGAAACATCCCAAAAACAATTGGATTATCTTAATTTTACTTTATTCTTCTCTTAATAAGGACAAGTAAGAGGGTTTGAGGACAGAAAAAATGTTTACTGTAGAAGTGAAAATGTGTGAATGCTTTTCTGTTTTTTTGACTTTTACTCCTGATACTTATTATATCTGATATGATATCTGATATCTGATAAGAAATCTGATCTCATTTATAAATTTAGCATCTCAATCAGTGTCTTGTGCATGCAGTCTAAAAATTTATGTCTGTGTCTGTGTGTGTGTGTGTGTCTCTGTGTACTCAGGTGGACTGGCGCAGTTCTGGCAGCGTCGGCAGCATCCCCACAGCAGTGAAGAGGAGTTCGTGGTATACAGACGGTCTGGAAGGTCCTCCCAGCCGCAGCCACTCTCCGTCCCGTCTGCAGTTACCTGCAGAGAGCTGCCCACTCTTTCTGCAAAAGAGAGGCAGCGCCAACAGTCTGGTGGAGGCTGTGAGTAAAAAAACTCAGACTTTCTTTTATCCATGGATCACAGGCCACTTCTGAATAATATGTGTCTGTGGAAATTAAAAATACATAGAAATCACAGTCATTCTGTAATTTAGAGGAAGTATGTAATTATTACTTTCATTGTCAAAAAACCTCTTGATAATTGCTTTGACTGATATTTAGTGAATTTATTGATATATATTTTTTTACTTATTGTTCTCAGGTGTTGATCTCTGAGGGTCTTGGGAAATATGCCAGGGACCCCAAGTTTGTTTCAGCGACCAAACATGAAATCGCAGACGCCTGCGAGTTGACCATTGATGAGATGGACAGTGCCGCCAGCAACCTGCTGAACGGCAGTATGGATAACAGCAACACTGGGCAAACGGGCAACGTCAGCACGGACCCACATGCCACCGCGCATCTTAGAGACCGCAGTATCCGTGACTACAGCGACGAGGAGCCGTACGTGGCTGTGAAATGCGAGGAGGACCTAACAGATGAGATGATATGCATCACGTCGCTATAGCAGCGGCTCACACACAGGATTATTTAGGTTTTTTCAATTGGATTTCTACTACTGTTCCACAGTGAGGGGATGTCTCTGTTCAGGTGCATCCTGCAATAGACAGAACATGTAAAACATGGATGGATAAGAGAACAAAGTGCCTTGTTTTCTCTTTCTGTGGAGTGGAGAATTGAAACAGATGGATTCATGGAAGAGATACATTCAGCAGATTTTGAAACCACAGCGAAAATCTGCCTGCCAGCACGCCTGTCGTTTAGCAGGAATTCAGGATACTTCCAAGAGGTTGTTTTCTATTTTCTTTATTATTGACAATGATTTGGTAGAGCAGAATAACCTGGCAGCCTCACAAAGCCAGCCTGCAGCTTGTGAAGTTAGTTTTTCAACAACAACAACAACAACAACATCCATTGAGTCCAGCAGCTGAAAACCAGACAGTTTGGTAAAATGGAGAGTTGATACTGAGTTATGATGATGTGATAACATTTACGTTGTGTGTGCAGTCTGTTGGTACTTCTTTATTCATATATTTCTGCAGCATATTGGATTTGAAATGAAACGACAACTTTGAAGGCTTTAATTTGAGGGTGTTTGCATCCATACTGGGTGAACTGGGACTGTGAGCCTGTCATTGTTGTATCCTGACATTGTGTGACTTTGTATGAAGACCACATACACTGTTCACTCAAAATGAGGAGCCACTAAAACATAAAACCATTCTAAACACTTACAGACTGCACTGTATGAAATGTGTGTGTTTTTACTGAAAACAATGATGAGAGACTGAACGTTTGCAGAAGCAATGACCAGTGACAGACCAGCTGTAAACTGGTGGGAGTGATTTCACATTGATCTGGTCTCCAAAGAGTGAAGCTGGCTTTGCAAAGCTGCATTGCCCTGCAGCAAAATGTCTATGGCTACCCAGTGATTCCAAGAGTTAGCAGAGTTTCATTTCATGTATATAATGTGTGATTTAACCGTTAGTGGTCACGATAACAGATGCAGTTTTGATCTGCCGCTGTTATTTACATTACATTTTGACCTCCATGACTCAAATGACACAAAACAACTTGATTTTATTTTCTGTTTTTGCTGCTCTCAGTGCAGAGTGACGATCAGGCTGATCCAAAGCCATCGCAGCTGCTACGTATGAATCTAGGAGCTGCTCTGGGTTCACAGTTCAGGGTTTCAGGGTTAAACGTCGCTTGTCTCGGTACTTGACTTGAAAAGGAAATCACATATCATGAAAAAAGACTTTGTCCTCAGGCATATCCTTCTGTTTCACTGCACACTGATATGACACACAGATAAACATACTGCCCCCCCCCCACACACACACACCCCAACAACAGAGTAACTAATTACACACCAATTATATTGACTTGATTACTTTAAACACCCTGAAAATAAAGGCAAATTTAGGATAATACCACAATGTCACAGACTTGTTTCCATGATGATCCTTAATTTATCAAAGCCCCTTGAAAACTGTGAGGAGAGACCATTTCATTGTTAAAAACTCAATCAGAATATGCAATGATTCGCTTTACTCAGACCTGCTTTAGACTTTATGAACAAGAAGTTCAGTATTCACACTGAGAGAATGATAACTGTGGAGGAAAGGTTTATATTTCCTATATGACAAATACAGTATAATGCTGTGGTACAGTGGTCTTACCAGTCTGCGTTGTGAAACTGCTGCATGAGACATCGGCAAACATAATATGTTTCCTTATAACCACACAAAAACAAAGAAAATCCAGACGTTTCTTCCGCATAGCTGAAGCACAAAGTCATCACGACAGGATCGTCTGTCTGACCCTAGTCATGTTTACTGCCTCCGCAGCCGGTAAACTTTCCTTCAGGCCACTTCAGTTCTGTGAATCGCACGTCACATTTGAGTTATACTTGCTGAGCAGTGTCAGTGTCATTTCTCTCAGGCTTGTTTCACAATGAGGCCGATGAAGTAAGTAGATCTGGAACATAAAGGTCTGACACATACAGCGGGTAAAATAAGTATTTAACACGTCACCATTTTTCTCAGTATCTCAGTACAATATATTTCTAAAGCGTGCTATTGTCCATGAAATTTTTGTACCAGATGTCAGTAACACCCATGCAAATCCACACATTCAAAGAAATCAAAATAAATAATTTCAGAAATTAAAAGTTACATGTAATAAAAGTGGAATTGGACAGGCGGGAAAAGCTATTGAACATGGCTTACTGACAATTTCCTTTATACTTCGATACAAAACCTTTGTAGGTAATGACCGCGTCAGATGCCTCCTGTATGGAGCAAACACTGTCGCAGCAGTTGCCTCAGGTGTGATTTTGGCCGCCATTCTTCCGCCACAGAACAGTCTTCAAATCTTGAAGCTTCAGTGGGCCTCTTCTATGAACTCTGCATCTTGTAGTTCTTTCCATAGATTTTCTAATTGCGATTCAAGTAAGGTGATTGGCTTGCGGCCATTTCTACAGCTTTATTTTCTTTCTCTGAAACCCAAGTGGTGGAGGGAGCTTTCCTTGGCTGGTGGTGTTTTGGGATGGATTGTCTTGCTGAAATGTCCAACCCTCGTTTCTTCGCTTCTTCTTCATCATCCTTGGCTAGATGAGCAGCAGAGTCTTTATCAAGACATTGTCTAACGGTACATTTTTCCCATTCAAGTCTTGTCAGTGCCGTATGGCTGAAAAACAGCCCCACCGACCATGATGTTCCCCACTCCAAAACTTCACTGTTGGTATGGTGTTTTTGGGGGTGATGCTGCAGTGCAGTTTGAGCCTCCAAAGCAGTGCTGTGTTTATGGCATTCCCAAAGAGGTTGAATTCTTTGGGGTCTCATTCTTGGCCAGGACTTATGATTCTCCCAGTATGTTCACAGGCTTGGCTCTAAATTTTGAACATCAAGGACTTTAAACGTGTTCAACATGCCTTTTTCTTCAGCAACTGGGAGTTCGTTGCTGCGGTGGAGCGTGCATTACAGGCCATTGGTGGCTTGAGTGCATTACTTATTGTTTCCTTTGAAACAATTGTACCTGCTGACATTCCAGCGTCTTTCTGACGCTCCTTCCACAAGGTGGTCCTTGGTCTTGGACAACTCTCTCCGATAAGTTCTTTCACTTCTCTGTCAGAAATCTTTGCGAGTGGGGGAGCACGTTAGTCGCTGGTTTGGTTTTATTGAAATGATGTTCGCTTTCCGACGCACTTCGGGATTATGGCTCACTGCTATGGCTCACATCAGTATTTTTTTTTTTTGCTTTTGGAATAAGGTTGCAAAATGTTATTGAGAGGACTTTTGGTTCGTGGTTAACCCGATCATGGATTCTTTGTGGGACCTTTGGTGATGAGACACGCGTTTTGGCTATACGGCCGAGGCAGAAGTGGGAGGAACCAGCCTGGGATATTAAGTGCTGCCAGGCACAGAACGTGTCGGTGGCGCGTTTCGTAGTAGATCTTCAGCGGTTGTCTTGCTTTCCATGCGCCGGTGTTGTGCACTGCCCTTGCTCCGTCATGTGTTCAAATCAGCTTTTTCCCCTGTGTCATTTCACATTATTGTACACGGATAAACGTGAGGTTGTATGGACATCTGGCATGGTGTGTGAGTTGCGTACGACCTTACGAGCTGGGTGGAAGAATTTCGTGTAATGACGTTCGTAACACTAGTATTACTGGCAGAGCAAAAATCCGGTGAGTGTGCGCCGCGCTTACGCGGCGTGTGTTGCTGGTTTGTACCAGGTCCTTTACTTATATGTGGTGAGGTAGTGTTTAGAAATGCCGGCGCGGGCAAAGAAAACCATTTTTGCTGGAAGTATAGATTCGAGGTATATGTGGTTGGGTGGTGTATTACTGTGTTTTGAGATGAACATGATTTGGATGGTTAGCTGTTGCCGTTTGTATGTGTAGGAGTTTCTTTGTTTTGTGTTCGAATGCCAGTTTGAGTGTGTGCGACATGCGTCGGCATGTTTGTCTCTTGTGTCTGCTGTTGTTAATTGGTTGGTGTATGTCTGTGGTGGTTATGAGTTTTTTTTTATTTATTTGGTGTTTTCACATTTGCTCACCACTACCAGTTGACGTCTACCACTGCCAACTTAATAACGTCTTCAAGGTCACTTTTACACCAACACTGTCTTGTGGCCAAGGGCAAGGTCTTTC